TGTATGCTTTTAAAAGTACTAGTTACTTTTTGAGTACTTGCTACTGGAATGGTTTTAGTCAATTTGCTCATCTCTGGTGTGCAGTTAATTCTTTTGGATCGACATCGTTGCGGCGTGCTCTTCGTTCTAACTTTTGTCTGGAGGTATGTCTGCTTTAAAATTGCATTATTTCTAAAATAAAATTTGTTTTGAGTGTCTGCTGAAAAAATAAAAGTTCTATTGTATGTTGAAAACTACATAAATGGTTGTTTAGCTGACTTGTAGACAAAGAAATGCAGTATAAATTCGCAGTACAAAGCACACGTGTTTTCGTGCTTAGGAATGTGCGTTGTGTATACATACATATGTATGTACATATGTACATACATACATATGTATGTAGTATATGCATTAGACTTTTTTCTCAATCAAAGCAAGTCGTAAATTCATGTTTTATTATGTTGCTGAGTTCTTTTGATGATTCTTTAAGCTTCATATAGTTTTATGTTTTTATCTTGTAATATGTGAATGTTGATTTATGAGTATAGGCGATTTGAAAGCTAAAAACGCAATTTATATTAACAAACATGTGTGTATACGCGTTTCAGAACCTCATTTTTATTCAGAATGGATGCACCACAGGAAGGACATGTAGACGCCGAGTCGTGCAATGAAGTCGACGATGATAAGTCAAACTCCGACTGTCAATCAATGTAATTCAAAACATTTTTTGTTGTTTCTGCCTTTTCTAAGTATTTACATTTTGAATTGTGCTCTACGATAGGCCGGCATATATGAATTCAGTGTTACGACGACAGTTTTTGCAAGAAATGGTGAAATCGTTGCCCGAGAGTGTCCAGAAACGGATCATTGTTCTCAAGAATATGCAGTTGGATCAGTTGCAAATTGAAGCGAAATTTTTCGAGGAAGTTTACAATTTGGAGAAAAAGTATCAGTTGAGCTATCAACCCCTTTTGGACAAGCGCAGAGAGATCATTACCGGCAAACTAGAGCCTGCGGAAGAGAAACCAAAGTGGAAGGAACCAGAAGCTTCACCCATCGAAGGAGATGCCAGTGATGCATTCCGCGAATCTCTTAAGAGTATAAAAGCAATGCCCCAGGATGTAGCTGGAATACCAGATTTCTGGCTTACAGTGTTTAGAAACACAGGAATGCTGTCTGAAATGGTGCAGCCTCACGATGAGCCGGCTATTCGCCACCTTACCGACATTACAATTAAATACGATGATGAAGTACGTAGATCACTCTTGAGCACCTTAAGTAAGGTGTATTTGCTAACTGATTTTGTTTTTTATACTTCCAGCATTCTTATACTTTGGCTTTTCATTTTGATAAAAACGAATTCTTTTCGAATTCTGTACTAACGAAGCAATACTTCCTTAAGTCGACGGTCGATCTTGAAGACCCATTTGCCTTCGAAGGTCCGGAAATTTATAAATGCAAAGGTTGCGTTATTAATTGGGAGAAGAAAATGAACTTGACTGTTAAGACGATTCGCAAGAAACAGAAGCACAAGGAGCGCGGTGCTGTGCGCACCATCGTTAAACAAGTTCCCACAGACTCGTTTTTCAATTTCTTTAATCCACCAGAAGTATCGGAAGATAAGGAAGACATCGATGATGAGTCACAGCAAGTAAGTTTTGGATATGTCATTAATTTTGTTTTTATGAATAGTCTTTAACCTCTCATTTATCTACAGATTTTGGCCACTGATTTCGAAATCGGTCACTTCTTACGGGCTAGAATTATTCCAAAAGCTGTGCTTTATTTCACGGGCGACATTGTTGATGACGAGGATGATGAAGACGAAGAGGAGTTCGAAAACGAAGAAGACGAGTATGATGACGATGAAAATGAGGGTCAAACCAAGTCCAGCAAAAAACAGTCTCCAAATGATTGTCCCAATCAGTAGAACATAACGAAAATAATGAATATTCAACTGTAAGAGTTGTGTATAATAAGTACATTAAAATATATTTTTGGTGAATTCAAATTTCGAAAAATGTATTTATCTTTGAATTAATTTATATACTGTAAAATACAAATGGGCGTAGTCTTATGTGATTGTGTAGTCTTGTGCAGCGTTACGATTCTAGAAGTTGAACAGGGACGAAACACCAGTCCAAAGAAATAAAGAAAATAAATGCGAATGGAACTGTAAGTTCTATACGAACTATGGTTAGATCATCACTTGCTTCCTTTGCGTAAATACCAGTTTCATGTGTGTGTAAAATTGAATACGAATTCGCATAACTAATTAAAATCAATTATTTCTATGAGCTTAATTATGAGCTTCTTCGTGCTGACGCTTCGCCCATAATTTTACGTCAGCGAAATGTTGCAAACACTGAATACAAATTGAATAATTGAATTTACATAATATATGTATATTCTTTTATATAAAAAGTCTATATGCACACTATTAAATATTTATAATATAAATGTTATATTCATTTATATTATCTACATAATAGTTATTCCTTTTTATTCCGAAAGAAAAAAGTAGCTGAAAAATCACAGTTTGAGTTAGAATTAGCTGTATTTTAGGTATGTATCTCCCATGAGACTCGATTATTTTAACGACTCTTCACTCATATTAGTTCCCCTCAAAAGGTAAAAAGTCCCAGAGAAAGTTTTCTCTTATTTGTATTCTACATTATTTGTTATTAATTTTTTTTTTTTGTTATTTACCTAGTTAAATATAAAGAGTATATATAATGAAATATTCTTGTGGATATTCAAATTTATATTTGTTTATTATAGTAATTTGTTCTGGATTTACTTTAAAAGTTCACTCAGCGAGTTTTATTGATCATGTTCACGGTATGAATAACGAAACAACAAGTATGTATGATTTGATATTTCTTAAAGCATGCTATTAAATAAGTTATAAATTCTTAAGTTTATCAAGAACGGTCTTTACGACTTGATGTCCGCAGCACTTTGACAGTACAGTTTTATAAGTAAGTAAAAATTAGTCTATTTAATTGAAAATATGAATGATAATGTTTGAGAGATTGAAATCTTTGTAAAGAAGTTTATCATTTGGGCATTTGCTAGGGAATTCTATTTTGATTAAATGATTTTCTTAATTTGGCACTAACTGAAGGGGCGTGGCATGCTAGCGGAAGGCTAGATATTTTAGCTTGTACCAAAGCGAATGATAAATGTATGTTAATATAGTATAAATTGTAAACTAAACTATTTTCAATTTGCTTTTAGGAACAATACAAAAACGTTGGAGACTCCGGTGCCATTGAATGAATTTAATCTGGCTAATTCTGGATGTTTGCCAACAGAGAAATTCTCTGTTGTGCTCCATGGCTGGATTCAAAGTTGCTCCGATGAGTGGGCGATTGAGCTGATCGAAAGTAAGTTTTTGACTTTGAATACATTTTCATCTCTGTTTAATGATGTTTCCCATTTTCAGGATTAAGTTTCTATCGCAGAGGCTGCGTCATATGCATCGATTATAGTACGGCCGCCAGTTCATCTTATATGAGGTATGTATGTATTTAATTAACTAATTTAAAATAAATCAGCTACTAAATGTTAGTATACCTTTTTAGATTATATTCCAATTTCGATCACATAACCGAGGTGATTGTCTCCATTCTAGTATCTCTCTTTCGATACGGCTTCGATCCGAGTCGTGGATTTATGTTTGGCTTCAGCTTTGGCGGACAGTTGGCATCAGCTGTGGGTCGCGCACTGCAGCCCCATTTTACGCTGCAAAATATAGATAGTAATTAGATTCGATATATAGTTATATACGTCTAGTAATACTGTTTCTTTGTCAGCTTGCGACATGGCTGGTCCCGGCTTCGATCCCATTGACGTCGATCACTCGAAGGCCGCACGGCATGTGCAATGCTTTCACTCAAGCCGCGATAAGGGAACTTTCATCTATTCCTGCCATCGGAATATCATGCTAGGCAGCTGTGGACTGAGTCAGCCATCGATCGCAAGCCAATCTCATCTGGGTAGTCATGGACTATGCGTTGATATCTATATAAATACTTTCGATTATCCATTCTATGCATTGAGCACGCCGCCCAGTGAGTGCTTAACATTCTCCAAAGTGGCCAAGATACCGAATCACTATACAGTCGGATATGAGGAGGATTTCAATAAGTATGGAGAATATCCTATACAGGGCATATCATATATAGTACGTATGCATAATAAAAGATTCATTTCCTTGCAGGCAAATAACTGGCAAAGTTTATGTTCCGACAAGCCTACATTATCCCTACAATTTATCCAAAAGAGAGCTTCGAATTCTTTTTGGCAAGAATTAAAAATGGAAA